ACAATTACAGATAGACTGGAAAATGGATTATACATGTTGCAGATAGACATCTTGTATGGAATATGAGAATTTCAACCCCTTACTTCTATAGAATCTAAGCAATTAAACAAAACAAACGATGGGAAAGAAAAGAATAATAATAATAATAATAATAATAAATCCAATATTAGGTGACGGGGGTTGGATTTTTTTTGGCCAAAAGGTGTTGGAAGATATTGACTGAGGCAAGTTCAATGCACCCAAAAAGATGATCGGGCAGTAAACTATGATACACAGGCAAGGTAACTCTCCCTGTTGAAGATGCCAGTCAATTACTCTAACAGAGACAGCTTTGGTGTTTTAAGTCCTGCCTGGGAATAATGGTTTTGGTACATATGGAATACTTCCTAGTTCAACCCCCTAGAGCACGTTTGAGTCCAGCTCGTTGCTCTGGAGTCAACCTTGTAGGGAACTTCACCTCAAATTTGATCCTAAGATCACCTCTATTACCAGGCTCCTTTGCTACAGGCATTCCTTCCCTGGCAACAACTAGTTCATAACCAGGGCTGATAATATCGGTCACAGGCAATGACAAACTACGCCCATCAAGAGTAACGAGATTTACTGTTGTGCCCCCAAGTGCCTCTGCTAGTGAGACCCTTTGGTTAACAAGAAGGTCGTTGCCATCTCTTTTGTAAAAATCATGGGGTTTCTCATCAATGACAAATACGAGGTCTGCTGGAAGCTGATTTGGTTGCTCATTCCCTTTGTCTGGGAAAGTAATCTTCGTTCCTTTCTTCCACCCTGGCTTCACATCAATGGTTAATATTTCTGTTTCTTGTACTTGCCGCCTATAAGTTTACAAATTATTATTCAATCAGCGAGATTAAAGATAGAAACTCTAGCTTTCTGTAGCTATAAAGCAACCAATAATGATGCCACTATCACAACAATAAATAGATTTCAGCATGAAAAAGAAATACATGCAAGGAAAACAAAAAAACACAAAGCATGAAAGAATCAATAAATTTGTCCACCAACATAGAGTTTGAAACATTTTTCTTTCTTTTCCCTCTTTAGTTCCATAAATTGGTTAAATGCATGCATTCTGTCGACCTGCAGAAGAAAAGGTACATAGAAAGCTTCCATCTTTGATGAAAGTTTCAACTATAGAATTTCATCAGTTCCATCCTTGGAACACAAAACTATATTTTCTGGGAAATTCAATCAAGAAAACCCAATACCAGGGTCATGCATAAGATTGTTTGAAACTTGGGAACTTGAGAACCATTGATGATGACATAGGGTGTGTCTAGATTAAAATGTTGGCATTTATGCAAAATCAAATTCAGAAAGCAAAAGCCTATGGTAGGAGATTTAAGAAAAGAAAAAGGAATAGAGCAGGACAAGCATGGTTCTGAGATGAATGTTCATACCCAGCCGAATTGACAACAGTTCTAGAGATCTTCATCTTCCTTGTTGATCCAGTGTAAAGCTCCTCAAGGCTGCAAGGCAATTTGCTTTCAACTGGGGGAGGTTTCCTGGGTACAGTCCCCTCACTGTAAGTTCGAAAAATGTTGTCAGTCGAACCAAATCCTCCATACATCCCTCCATCAGAATGGAATCTTGAAGACCTACCAGGTCCTGATGACCCAAATCCAAAAGGACTACTCCCAAAGAACTCTGCAAAGATATCCTCCGCATTCCTAGGATTATACCCATTTGGCCCACCAGTGCCATTTCCAAATGATGGTCCGCTGCTGCCTGGTGGTGGCATGTCTTTCAAGCCTTCTTCACCATACTGATCATAAACTGCTCTTTTTTGAGGGTCACTCAGGACCTGAATCACAAAACTAGCTTAATTCTCCATGTGACATCTTCCTTTTTCCATTTATATAAAGAAAAGATTCCAATATGACAACATAGACACCATGATCATGAGTAATAATTTAGAGCAACAGATTGTAGCAAAAGTGACTCCTTTAATTCTGTCAGGACACAAGGAAGTTATAATTAAATTCTTGGATGTTGAATATTTATTAACTAGGGATCTCAAGAGATGATTAAAACCAGCTCTTACCTCTCTCAATGCTGCCTATAGTGATGCAGGATAAGTTGGGATTTGAACCTATTGTGTGCCATTTAGGCACATGTTTGGTGTAATTAGTCTTCAAAATAAACAAGAAATTCAGGTTGCAGTAAGCACACCCTATTCTAGGTGAACCACCCTTTGTCTTGGAGGTAACCAGCCCCTATGGTATGCATCAGGTCCTGGTTTGAAGCCAGACACCCTAACCCCTCTCTACTAATCTCCAATGATTAAAATAAAACAAATTCTAGGAACTCTAATTTGACTATTAACTAATCCGGTTAATAAGATACTAAGAAATCAACAACAGTTTAGAAGCTAAAACAGTTTTAGAAAGAAATATTAGAGAACATAATCACATAAGCAAATCCCTCCTAATTAATCAAGAATAGGACAATCAGATTAGTTATAATTTGGTTCAATAGTTTTAACAATTTAAGCCATGAAAAAAAAAAAGAAGGGAAAAAGCTGCAAAAGCTTAGAAGTAGCTGAAAATCCAAGTCAGGATACGATTACAATTAAACTTATCGTAGCTTCAAGAAATCTTTGAACTACTGAACATTCACAAATACATAGCCCTTAACAGCTACATTAATCTGGCAACAGACCTAGAATATTATTGTAGTTGGAGAGACTAGATTAAGGCAAAAGACAAGTCATAAGCAGCACAGAAGAAAGAGAATAAGACACCTTGTTTGAGACCCATATCTAGAGGTAAGAAAATCTTTACAAAATCAATATTAAATTCTAAACAAAATTATAAAGTTGTAATAGGGAGTAGTTTAAGATAACTCAAGTCTAAACCTAATTCTGTCCCATTTCAAGAATCTGCACTAATTAGCATTACAATATCATTTTTTGCCTGAATACAACATGTTAAAACTGCAATCTGGAAAGAGATTAAAAAGCTGCTATGTCTTCCCGTTACATCATATAGTTTCTGCAAATGCATTTAATTTCTTATTCTGTGCCCCTTTCTATTCTTATTCATTACTTTCTTCCTCTAAGCTCTAATTCCCTTTGGTGACCAAGAACAAACTTTTACATGTCTAATACTATTTAATGGCTAGCTATCAGATTCGAAGATTGAAGCCGGTTTGGATAAACTTTGTATCACTTTTTCCTTCTGTAAGCACTACCTATCATTTGCAGCAAATAGATCATGCCTTCATCTATTAACATTCATTCACTTTAACACCTCTTCTCAGCTAAAATAGAATCAGCATCATCCTAGTTTCTTTCTAGGGAAATACCATAATCAAATATATAAAGACAAAAAGTAAAACAAATGGATTCCATTCTTTTTCTTAAGTTGACAATTAAAAGAGAGAAGCAAAACAAGGAAAGACTTGCCTCATAGGCCTCAGAGATCTGCTTGAATTTGGCTTCAGCTTCCTTCTTGTTGTTTGGGTTCTTGTCGGGATGCCATTTCATTGCCAATCTCCTGTATGATTTTTTGAGATCATCATCTGTTGCATTCTTGTTCACCTTCAATATATTATAATAATCCACCCCCATTTCTTCTTTGTTCTCTTTACAATTAGATCCAAATCCTATAAATCATAAAAACTTTCAACAGTTTGACAAAAACCCAGTAAAAAAAAAACACAAACTTTTCCTTAAATTTCTCTCTTTTATTTCTTCACATCAAAATTCTGCAAAACAAGATCTATACGTGTAACTGTGCCAACATTGGAACAAGGAAAATGGGGACTTTGTTTGCAGACAAAATTAACATTGTCTAATGAAGTTGACGAGACAAGCTAAAGACAGATTCAAAATTTCCTGTTATTGAATGAAAAAAAAGAAAAAGACGAGAAAAAAAAAGGGGTAAAAAAGAAAGAAGAGATTTGTGTGTCTCTCTCTTGTCTGTTCTCTCTGCGTCTTGTGAATGTGCCTGCATTTCTTTGGTTAAGACCGTGTGTTTTTTGGGAGACTTAAAGTTTATATAACCGAAACCAACGGAAACTAAACTAATGTCTGACATGTCAGTCAGATTGCTGTTTGGTCTTACAATTATAAGTTTTATATTTTGTCTTCAAAATTGGTCCTTGGCTTTTTGGGTTTTTTGTTCTTTTCCATTCCTGGGAGATCATGGTCCGCATTTTGCAATGGAAGTGCCGCGTAAATGCAAATGTAAAGCTATATCTTAGGACAGCGTTTGGATGCTGCATCAAAGGGGCCTTTTTTGGACCCTTTTGCCTATTTGAAAGACTTTTCAAAGACCGACTGACGGTCGGAAACGTTGCTTCGAAGAAGTTTTCTTTTTTCTTCTTCTTGAAACATCGGGATCAAGTAGGCTGCTCCAATCGTCAGACATGTGACAAGATGGAAAAATTATAGTTGTAAATTTTTTTTTTTGTTTTTACAAAGGAAGAATGATGTTTCTTACTTAAAAAGAATACAAGTACTTGTACAACGACTGAAGCCATGAAGAGAATGCCAAAGAAACTCGTGACAGTCAGCCAGGAACAAGTCATGACGAAGACCGTCTTTACTCCAAATGAGGGTTCTATTGAGCCGTATCCCCTGTTTCAACTGCTTAGCAACCTTTTGGGCACATCCCTTTTTCAGACTGCCTAGCAACTCAATCAGCAGCCTGATTAGACTAACGCATTATGGTAAACTAACTTAGCTTGCTCAACTCTGAAATAATTGGGGCAATCTTCCAGTTCTGTGGTTTAGCCTTCCTTTCTATGTCAGCAACAGTAACTGCAAAAGCTCAGTCAACCGCAACCCTTCTAAAGCATTCCCAGCTAGCCGATAAGGCACCTTCAGAGACAGAGCTTCTGCTGTCAAAGCATCATTAACTTTTATCGCTTTACTCTCTGCTATCACTTTTGGCCTTGACTGTTGAGCTATAACACCAATGGCAGCCTTCCCAGATTTCTCATCAAATGCACCATCACAGTCGAATTTAATTTAAGCAGGATTTTGGCGGACCAATGATCCAGGGAATCAGGATTACCAACAGTTACCTTTTTGGACTTCAGAGCCTTCTTCAAGTGCAATCACTTCCCCTACTGCCATTTTAATTCTGGTGATCATTGACTGAACATCTAGCCCCTTATTCCCAACCTAACTTCACAACAGCTCCTCCAAATATACCAACATGTGTAGACTATCCAAATTTTAATGGCCATAGAAATATCCACCTGACAAAAAAATTGACAGCAGCCAATTTCTCAAATCTTATAAAAATATTCTTTATGATTCTAAGACCCAAACATCCCTTGTACCAGACTGTTCTAGTCCAATCACAAGTCAGACACAAGCGTTCCACATGTACACTTTGCCATACCTTGGATGAAATTCCAGCTTACCTATAAAAGAAAAAGAAAATGTATATGTATGATATTAGGTGAGATAATGCGCTAATAAAAGCTTGTTATATATTCATCCGGACACCCAAGAATGTTAATTAGAAAGTTGCTGATTAGTAAAAAGCTGAAATAATCAATGATAAAGCAAATCACTAGCATTACCCAAACCCACAAAGAGTAAATAAACAGCCTCTTTTGATAAGTTTTGCTATCACGTACAGTTATCAATCATATTTAGATCTCCTACCGTTGAATGCTAAATTGACCTTGAGACCAGCATTTTGGTGCATCTAAATCAAATTTTAGGCTGTTCAACAAAACTTGGAAGGAACTACTTAAGAAAGTTTCAATTCCAAATTTTGTTGATTTATTTTCAAAGAAAAACAATAAACATATGATTCTACTTAAGTCAGATGAAGACAAGGGATGTAAGTGCTTACACAAAAATATACATTAAGATACAACCAGAAAAAAAGAGAATAAATGGATGGCACCAAGTGCCAATTTGGCTCCCCTAGTCCTAGAGTTATCTGCCATGTGTCTAACTAGGCATTTGTGGGTGGCCTCTATGAATGCATCAAATGAAGGAGAACTCCTTAATGCTCCTGCCGAGAAATTTAAATCTAACTATGCACAGGTTAAAAGTTCAAAAATACATGCAAGAAATGCATGCACAATCTACACCATGATCTTCAATTTTTGTTTAATAAAATGCTAGAGCAACATTTTAAAATAAATGAAAAAGGAAGTATAAAGTTCTATGCTACAGAGAATTCACTTGTACAAAGAAACTAGATTACTTGCTTATTTAGAAGTAAACAATAAAATTAAATTACTATCATTTCTAATCTAAGGAGCACCTAATAATTGGAGCAAGCAGGCACATGGCATGGTCCCCTATGCAAATATAAAGCATGTGAAACTAGAATCACCAACATCTAAGGATGACAGCAAGCAAATTGAAACTTATGCAAACAGGAGTGCTTACTCTTCAGCTGAAGCAATGAAAGAAACAGTGTGAAACCAATGGATAGGTGAATGAGAAGTACTGCTGTGGAAAGGAGATGTCATGGTTAACTAACTCAGTTACCACAACACAAAGGTGATTCTGAATATAAACTCATAGCAAGACTTTTATGGATGACTAAACACACTCATGTCAAGTTCTTGAAGATATAATTGAGCTTCTGGAAAGTTTTTGCTTCAGTTTTAAGCCCTGATTCCTGTTCATCATCATAACCTTGTGAAAATTCATATGACATTCCCACTAAAAGAGGATACTAGAAAGTAGAATCAGTTCATATCTGTAGCTACCAAATCCTATTAGAACAAAAAAGATACTGCAACAAATGAAAAAAATTTATACAACAGAAATAACGTTATCAGTTGTCAATTCCTTCAATGTCAAACCAGTCATCCAACATCTACTGTACTTTGCAGCAAATTGATTTGATTACACAGCTAGACAGCACAGATGAAAGAAAATTCAAATCCAAAGCAATTTCTTATGTAAGTTGCATAATAATTCAGACATACTATAAGATGTGTTTAGTTTCACGTTTTTCAATAAGAATAAAATCATGTTAGTTAACAGATCCTGGGGTAAATATTACAAAAAGGGGTGGGGCCAGAGGGCAAAGAATTGGACAGATAGGAAGAATAAACTCACATTACCTTCCCTATATATAAGATGTTCAACACCGGATGCTCTTGGTGCAAAGAAAATCTATATCTCTGAATGCAAGGATTTTTTTTTTCCTTTCGCTGCATACCAGAATAAAAGAAAACAAGAGAGGTAAGTTATCAATATTAATAATTTACTTAAAAAATTTTGTTTCTCAGGTAAACACAAAAAATATAGATGCAATAAGAATCATCTTCTTTTTTTGGCCATTGAATAGGAACTCTTCATACCTCTTCATGCTTGAATCTTCTTCAGAAATACCAAGCCCCTTCACCTCACTCTTCTTTGTTGAGTTTGTTACTCATCAAATCCAGTTCAAAGGAAGAGGGACATTCCTACTTCCCTTCCAGTTGGAGGGGCTAGGGATGCTATTATAGCGGAGTCCGTTCTGACAAATCGACAAAAGGAATCCAGCTCACACAAACTGACTGAAATTCTTAATGAGTTGACTTGATCCAGTGCCCACGCTTCTTCTACTTATCGCAAAATGTCTGGCATTCAAAGCAAACTTTTGCGAATGGGGACCTTTAAGTATTTGGGCTTGGGATGGATTTAGGAGTCTTTGTGGGAGCCATACGCAGTGAGAGTTGCACGTATGGTTTTGAAGCTGAGCCTTTCCAGCAATGATTAAATGCTGTGAGCAACAAAATGAGAAGAAACTTAAAAAGCTAAATAAACAAGCCAGCTATTGCCCTTTATCTGTTTCTTTCTGAAAGTCATTGCTTATCACCCACTCCAGAATTTTATCAACTTTAGGAAATCTCTTCATCGAACCATTTGAAACTGCTTTGTTAAGGATCCCTAGAGTTACCTCATCAGGTTGAAACCCCTCCACTACCATGATTTTCAGTAATGATAGAATGTCCCCAAAGTTGCCTCTCCGAAACATTGCCTGCAATATCATATTGTAAATTACAACACTAGGAATGAGCCCACTCTCTAGCATTTGATTCCATAGCTGGAGAGCACCTGAAATCTTCCCTTCCTTACAGAGGCCACTAATTAATGAACCATAGATAAAAGCATCAGGTTTCAGTTTCTGTCTATTCATTTCCCTTAACAATTGACCAACCAAAAGGTGATTGCGTTCTCTTATGGAAGCATGGATAAGAATGTTGTATGAAGTCACGTCAGGAAGGAACTCGGTGTTTCTTAAGTTCTTGAAAATCCAGTATGCAGTTCCAAGTAATCGGCTCTTGCAAAGGTTATGTAATAAAATATTGAAAGGAACTACAATTGGACTAGGATCATTATGCATTATGGAGTCCAACAATTTCAAACACTCTGAAAATTTTCCAATTGTGCAGAAATATTGGATCAAACAAGTCAAACTAAAAACATCGAGCTTAATGTGTTCATATTCCATGCGACACAAGATACTTTGGATTATTGCAGAGTTTCCCAGTCTGCATGCAGTAGACAAAATTGTATTGAAAGAAACCACATCAGGTCCATTTGCATCCCACTCAAAATGGTCCAAGAGCTCCAAAGCCTCATTAATATTTCTTTCTCTACAAAAGCCACTCAAGATTGTGTTATATGACACATTGTTTGGCTTAAAGCCTGCTTCCATCATGCTTCTCAACAGAGATAATGCTTCTCTTGATCTATTCTCTTGACATAAACATTGGAAGTAGATATTATAAACAACAGCATCCAAAGTACAGCCCTTTGAAATTACATCAAGCAATAGGTCGCATGCAATCCCTACTTTTCCTATTTTTAGTAGGCCTCCACCTAGAGCGGCATATGAGTATGAATCAGGAGAAAGACCATTTCGATTCATCACCTGAATGAACTCAGAAATGTCAGCCACTCTACCTCTATGGCAAAGTTCACGGAGAACAACATTATAAGTAACTAGATCAGCATCACATCCTTGCGCTTCCATCTTATTCACAAAGTCCATAGCCCGCTCAAACTTCCCATTGTCAAAAAGAAACTTAATAATTATCGTGTATGTAATCACATTAGGCTTACAACCATCACTTCGCATAAAATCTAGACACTGAAAAACATCTTCCTGCAGACCTTCTCTGCTAAACCCATAAATCAAAGCAGTATATGAACATACATTATGAACAAAACCTCTCTTCTTCATCAAATAAAACAGTTGCAAAGCAATATAACTTCGACCACACTTGCATAAAGCCCATAGAATGGGATTGTAACAGTAGACACTAAAAACATAACCCTTCCTCAAAAGAACAGAGAAAACAAAACAAGCCTCGGAAATCATCCTGGCTTCACAAAGCATTGAAATAAATCTATTCAAGGTTGGTTCAGATGGGTGATAATCATACCTCAGCATAAGCTCAAAAACAGTAAGACAATCAAGTGAGTTCCCTCCTGCGACCGCCTTTTTCAAGGTTTTGGATAAAGAACTGAATGATGGCACAAAATGATTCCTACACATCTCTTCAACAATAAAAATTGCATCTTTCAAATTACCAAGACGTAGCATTCCTTGAAGGAGGGTATTAAAAGTGGATGCATTTGGTTGAGGCCCAAAGCTCTTCATCCCAATGTACATTTCAACTAACTCTTTCCAACACACGTTTTTCGACTTCAAGTAACAATACATCAAAGCATTACAATCATATACAGTTGGTTTTCCATGAATGTTTTTCATCAAACTCAGAGTATAAAGAGCATTGCTAAAGTCACCTGAGATAGCATAACTCTGCATCCTGCCCTGCAATTCTGAGTAATTGGCAACATGGGTATCGGCTTGTTCAAAGAAATCCACTGTCTTTAGAGCACAGGAAGTAGCAAAACTCTCAAAAAAACGAAAACTTCTGCAAATTCTGCATGAATAAGTAACTGCAGGAGAAAAACAAAAAGGCATGGAAAGCTTGAACAGAAAGTTGAATATTTGGGATACAATTGCATTTAGTAAATTTGGGATGCTAGGAAATTTGAAGGAAGGAGAAAAGGAAAACAAAAACGCTAAACTATCTTGTGTTATGAAGCAGTAGCAAGCGGCCCCGGAGCTGCAGAACGGTATCGTGTCCGTATCGGATGCGGACACGTTTCCCAAACAGGAACATAGGGGAACTGTATCTCCAGAGAAGTACCTATTGTCGGAGAAAATGGTGGAACTGAGAAAGAACGAGGGGAAGTCGGCTGAGTTTAGCTGGGAAGAGAAGAAGAGAACTTGGTTTTGATTCATCATCACATTATGGGGTATAGGCCCTTAAGCATGGGCTCAGTCTATGAGAGTTTAAAGCTTCTCTTCCCCATTCAGTACTCTTTTTCTTTGTGGGCTCATTTATTTCGGCTCTGGGCTTCTTGTTTTTTATTTTGGGGTTTTTGTGTTCCCTGTTTTTCCTTTGAACTCAAGGATGAGCTGTTCATGAACCAATTTTCCACTGGAGCTTCTCCACCCAAATCGAAAAAAAAAAGCAAAGAAAAAGCGAAAGAAGACACTCTTACAGGACCAACCGAGCTAGACTTCCACGGCCACGGCCCATGGGTTCTCGGAATCAAATGTGGGTGTAGTCCATTGGTGTAAGAGTGGAAATAATACGCATTGAGTGGCCAAAATTTGCATTACTCAGAAACATGGCTGGGGAACTGCACAGTTTAGAGCTATCAAAAGAGGCTAAGAAATCTAAATCGATGCATCCTCTAGAAAACATAAACCAACAACATGAACAGACGCAAATCATTTTCTTTTCTGATGAAAACTAGGATTTGCATGTTAACTGCACAAGGAGCTTTTCACCAAACAACAAGCCCCAAAAGCAGTATAGAAATCGTAGGCAAGCAGCGTACAACTATACAAACCTTAACCCTTCAAATGTTATAGCAAGTATAATTTTTCTCCTCCTCATGAAAGATCCCCTACTTGTATGTATACTTCTTATCCACAAACAGGTACAGGTAAAAAAAAAAAAAAACGAAGACCACTTAAAATCTTTCCTAAATCAATCAGGAGGCAACAGCAGGTTCTGCAGACCAGATGAAGAAGCACTAGCTTCGCCTGCCACATTCTTCAGTTTAAGAGCACCACAGGTTGCTGAAGACCCAGGTTCGGAGACATCACCAATATCCAAGGTGTCGGGAAGAGTTTCAGAAGACTCAACAGTGTACATCTGCATAAGGCAACAATTCATTTTCCATGAATACCAAAGAGCGTAAAAGAAAACATTTTTCAAACTTATTCATCCACAATTTGAAAATTAACATGGCATATACTCCAGAAATCACTTCCAACAGAAGCCCAAAGAAAGACCTTGATTCAGCATGTCTCACAGAATGGCAAAAAAATGGAATATAGTAGCCATAAAAAACAAAACATTTTTTATTTCTTTCTGTTTCCTTCTCTTTTAAACATTTTCTTTTATGTAGTAAAAGAATTAAATATTAGGTTTAGTCTAAAACCACCTGTAGTTCCTATAACTACTGATAAGATGAAACAAACTGCATAAAGAATTTGTCATACAATGACCACACAAGATGCACGCTGCACTCCATTCATGACTAAAACATCTGGCCTACACTTAAAAGGGATTCCCTTTACCCCACCCAATTAACCTGCATTCGATGGAATTACAGAATAAAGACAACGTTACAAACAAATTTATTGAACAAAGTGACAAACGAATTTACTAAACAAAATGACCCAATATACAAACCATTACTTCTGATACATTCAGCCAACAGTGAAGGTGAAAGAACAATAAAAGAACAAAATGACATAAGAATAGCAAGAACCAAATATGCATGACAAGTCAATAATGTAAATCTACAATGCATAATATCAGATGAGAGCCCAAAAGTGGGGAAAGCAAAAAGAGCGGAAAATTTTCATTCATTTGCAGTCACCATTACTGATCTTCTGAAACATCATAAGGAGGTCAGAAGTTGAATGAAAGAAAAGACCTAAACAAATGAAGAAGAAAACTATGGCCATGCTGAAATGGCCCAGAAACCAGAGTAGATCCCGAACTCCTTGATGTCATACAGTTATTAGTCAAAGCCAAAAATAGAACATCAGGTGAAATATGTTATCTGACAATAAAATCAGAAAATTGTTCAGAAATTTAATTACTTCACTATTAGCACCCTTCATAGCAGGACATTTGGTGATGTGCGAGATAGAACAGCAGAAGAGGAGCTCAAACATTCATCCTCCCATGGCTCAAGAAACAAAAGTGAAAAGAAAAACTCATGATGAGAAAGACTGAAGAAAAATAATCCACCAATATCACTCAGACAAAAAAAATAAAAATAAAATACCCAGACTCCTAAGTTTTGATCAAAATTACACGAAAATCTATTAATTTTCTAAATAAACACTCCTCCCCAAGAGCACAAACACTGTTAACAAAAGTTATGAAAAAATTAAAATACCCATCTTTACTTTATTAATTTAAAAAATTATTATTATTTAAAAAAAAAAAGCACCGATGGGTGCTCCCAAAGGAGGAGAGCATGGGTCCCTAGGGGAGCACCGTTCCTCCCTTAGGGAGCTGGATTTGGGCCTCGCCATCTAGGGAGCACCAAGTGCTCTCTTCAGAGCCCTGATCAAGGCTCCTCAAGGGAGCTCTGGTGCTCCCCTGATGGTGAGCCTTTTTTTAAATTAATAAAAAATAAAAAATAATAAAATTATATACTAATAATTATAAAAATTAATCAATAGTAAAATTATTTTTTTACCCTTACCATGTTAGCAAGTTGACAAAAATATTAACACTTGACTAACAGCTGGACTTACATGTCCAGGGAAAAAAATTTTTTAAGGCCAAGTATTCATTTTGAAAACTAATGAATCTCTGTATAATTTCAATCAAAACTTAAAGAGTCAGGGTATTTTACCCAAAATATTTATAAACTATAAAATAAAAGTAAAATACCCTTATCTCTTAACCTTTAGTCATAATTTCACGCATTTTCATTAGTTTTCAAAATGAACGCTCCAAACACATAAACAATGTAAATAGACAATGTGAAATGTTAAAAATACCCTTTTTCATGCTACCTCTTTTCACCATTTTCTTTTCATTTTTTCACATAAACAATGTAAATAGACAATGTGAAATGCTAAAAATACCCTTTTTCATGCTACCTCTTTTCACTATTTTCTTTTCATTTTTTCAAGTCAACTGGCGACGCTCCTAGCCAACCACCGCTCGCGCTCCCCAAGGGAGCCGCACCTCCCTATCCTTGCACTCCCCAAAGGAGCCAAAGCACGGATCTCTTGCTCCCCAAAGGAGCCACAGCCCCCCACCCCCATGCTCCCTTGGGAAGCATGAGATTTGTGCTCCCCTAGGGAGCACTGGGGGTGGGGGGCACGACTACCTTGAGGAGCACGAGGGCTAGGAGATATTGCCGAAGCCCGATCTGGTATGGAATAGTGTAATAATTTTTAAAATTTATAATTTATAATGTAATAATTTTAAAATTAATAAAAAGTAAAATTGTCCTTTCAATATTGTCTCGTCATCAAACAATCAAAAACATTAGCGGTTGACTAATGCTTGAATTATGTGTCCAACAAAAGATATTCTTTAGAAATAGACTGTCTATTTTGAAAACTAATGGACTCGTGTAAAATTATGACTAAAAGTTAAGAAAGTGAGGGTATTTTTTCCATAAAATAAAGTTAGCCAAACGACTAAATTTATGTGTCCAGCAAAAGATATTCTTTTGGGGCAAATTATCTATTTTGAAAACTAATAGACTTATGTAGAATTATGGCTATAGGTTAAGGGGGTAAGGGTATTTTCCCATAAAATAAAGTTAGCCAAAATTTACCTCAAGTTGGTTCAGCATGTCAACAGTGGCTTCTAAGTCTCTATTATTTACCCAGTAGACATCCAGAAGAGACTCATTGGATAAACCAGGGAATATCATGCACAGATACTCCAAATCCATGTCAAATTCTTCATCCATAATCTGCTTGTCAGTCATTTCTCCCAGATTTTGCATCAAGAAGCCATGGGCAGGATGGCTTTTCAGTGCAGAAGCTTCAGGAATCTGGTGCTTTCCAGTGCCATGAGTCGCAGAGTCAAGTGAAGTATTGCTATGGTGCAGGCTATGTGCAAAATGTGAGGATGGTTTGTACCAAGCAGTCTCATTGCCACGCTTAATATCTTTAGCTGCCACATTATCATTTCCCTCCCTTTTGGCGAGAGGTATGTATGATGCTGCATAAGGATTCAATGAAGAAACTCCTGGCTTCATTGGCTTTGTGAAAAAAGAATAGTATTCATTTAGCCAAAGGAAAAATTATTTAGAAAATGAGGCAAATCCTTCATGCTTCAAAAGAATAACTGACAAAGAGGAAAATGTTTGACAACAGGACAATTAATATGAGTTGAGCCTATTAGCAAAAGCAGTAAAATGAAAGAAAGTCACTAAGTAAAGTTCCCAAGAATTAAGAAAAAAGGAGAAAATTATTGGTAAGTTGTAATTAACAATAAATTTAGGTAGCATTCACATCCAAAATAAAATCCTGTGGGTTTATTATTTCTGTTTAACATTTACTACAAGGCATGGATACCAAGTAGCAATTTATATATGAAACAAAAGCAGCATCTAATCTCTATCAAACCGATAATATCAAATAAAATCCATTTCGCTGCTTATGACTGCTGCTCTTCAAATAACCATAATGTGATAATGTTACAACCATAACAAAAATAAAATTTATTGACAAAATTACTTTACAATAAATAAGCCTCTCTATACATAAATATAAAAGATAACCAGCTCAATCATATGAATTTTTATCAAAGCTTGAAAGGTAAAGTCCACCAAAGATTAGTATGATCAATTTTTTAAGATGGACTTTCAAAACAGGAAAAAAAAATTGTACGCACCTGATCACGAAATAGAACATTAACAACCACAAAAAGGAGAAATAAATTATGAAGAAATGCATAATTTCTTTAAATTTTTTCAAAGAATTTAATCAAGAAAGCAATCTAGTAACGAAAATTCCATTAAGCTTTTTCTCTTCGATAACGTTCTCGGATTCAAAGCGTCAGAAGATCAACCAAAAGAAAAGTTAAAATAACCAAAATCAAAGATTATAAAGAACACAATTAGAAAAACAAAGCAAAGAATTCGATAAAGATATACAAGAGAAAAGAAAAAGACTCCGTGATTCGGTGGAGTTTGTGTGATCGGAAAACGAGAAGGAAAAGTGGAAGAAAAATTACCAGAGTACCCTAAACGTATGAAGATCGTCGGGGAAAAAAAGAAGAAGACGATGATCGATTGATTGAAGAGATCTGCGATTAAAATGAAAGCAATCACAAAGCATTTTAGTAAGGAAAGAAAGGTGGGGCACGTTCACTTGAAAGCAGTGGTGACGTTGGCGACCTGTTTGGAAACCGATTTAACTTTAATCGGGTTTCGGTTTACGATTTCCTTAGAATATTCGTGAAACGGGTTAACCCGCTCCCCAATATCAGTGTTGTATTATTATTATTATTTGACAATATTGTTTCTTTATTATGGTTCATATTTAAAGGAGATAAAGTTCAAATATAATTTTAAAGTGATGAATTAAATCTATTTTTATATTTCGATGAAGGTAATTTCAAAGTTATAATTTGATTAAAAATTATTAAAAATTAACTATAAAAAATATTTTGAAAAAAGTATTTAATAATAGATAATTAATAATAAAATGCTAATAGTTTTAAACAATTAATTTGCACTATCCTATTTAATAAATCAAACTAAGAGAAAATTTAACACTAAATTCAACTTATGATGAAATGATTAATTTATTACTTTCTTTTGGTTATTAATTACTGCCCAAAAATTGGAAAAAGGAACAAGAAAAAAATAATGAGAATTTGCATTCCACGTGGCCATACATCATCGGTTAGTCAGTTTTACTTGATTATGCCGAGTTGTAGAAGAAGATAACCTATTTAAAAAGAGTAAGAGTAAGAAAATCTAAAATGAATGAAAAAAGCAAAGGAAGATCCAAGTGGATGAGTTGAGCTAACCAAGAAAGAAAGAAAGCAAGCTGTAGAGGGAGAGGTGAGTAACAATGGTGGTTCTGTCTCCCTCTCTTCTTTCCCTCCCAACCCTCCATGTCCTCAGGTTCTCTCTCTCTTTTCTCTCTTTCCTTTTTCTTTGTTTCTTCTCAACTTGCAAGTCCATTTTAATGTGGGGGTTTTTTATCCTTTCAGGTATGACCCAGGCAGCAGAATGGTAAGTCATAAGAATGGTAATTACAGTAGAAGATTGCATGAGAGAATCACAGTTTGTTGTAGTCTTCCTTCAAAACCCGCTTCCCAAGACGTGTTATGGAGAAGGGATTTGCTGCTCTTTGCTCTTGCTTCTTCCTTCTACACACTTCTTCCATCTTCAGGTATATAGCTCTTTACCTTTTTTTTAATAGCGTATTGGTTTCATTTGTGAATGCTGAAGGAGACTAATGGTCATTGACTAGTTCACGTTTATGAATGTTGAAGATGACAGTGGAAACTCGTTTAAAGCTTTTAAGTGGTGGCTTTAACCCTTTAAAAAATGATTCCCTTGATTAAGGAGCATAACATTTGGTGTACCTATGCATTATTCTTTTTTCCTTTGAAATTAAATAGAATAAGTGAAATGCTGTCCTTCATGATTAAAATGTCTCATATGCCCTTTTGTCAGCACTGATGGAAAATTCTCATGATGAGTTATAATTAGATTATTTATGCTACTTTTGATTTTGATTTCGATGAATTTGAGTTCATGCCTTTGACCGAAGGAATTACCTTTGTTATCTATAAAGAATGATAAACACCCCACAAATAAAAAGTTTAATCATAGTGCTTAATTGACTAAAATATTATTAAGTGAGGCATCCATGCTGGGACTTGAGCTTATGCAAAGAAATTGTGCATCTAAACTTATCATCATTGCATTTAAGCAACTTCTAGTTTTTTCAGATCACAACAGTATGGTTCTGGAAATTGATATATGTCTGACCCCCAGTTCTTCAGTTTAGCAAAACTGATTTGCTAAAACCTTTATTTCTAGAAATTCCGCTAGATCCTTCTTCAAATCTTTATCTAGAGGATCATGACGGGAAGTTCTAAATTTTCTGTTGTTATTGTTCCTACTACTCCGGGGCTTTGACAATTCCACAGTGGAAACCTCATCTTCTTTAGTTTTTAAAGTTTTGCTATAACCATACTTTTCTCCATTTTCTTCCAAGTATTATAGAAAGCTTATTGCAGGGTGTCTTGCCGAGGAAGATGTAAAAATGGCTTCACTAGTTGATGAAATAAATGCTTATACCTATTCATATCCAGTGGAGTTACCATCTAAGAAATTCCTCTTCAAATGGTAGGTGTTCAGCATCAAAATTTATATGCGATATCACTTGCTGTCTTTTTTTATTATTTTATCATATATAATGATAACTAAGAAATTTGTAAATAAAACATTTTGTTGACTCCTTCTCCATCACTCTCACCCCTATTCCGTAACTGCCTAATTTACTGCTACAGAAGCAATTGACCCCTGTTACAGTTTGTGCTGTATAATTCACACACCCACTAAGAAGTACCTTCAGAGTAGTTAAATTACAGTTACAGATGACATCTGCCAGTTTGTTTCACAATGAGATGCTTATACACCTTTCTTATATTCACTTTAATAATTCTCATGTAAAAACAAACTAGTTCTCTTCTTCTTTATTATTATTATTATTATTATTATTATTATTATTATTATTATTATCTATTGTTGGCCTTAAATTGTAGGAACATGACACTTTCTGCATTTTTCTGAAGGGTGGAATCTAGAAAGCCTGAACGCTATTCATCTGCTGCACCACTGTCTCGTAAGTCTTATTCAATCCTCAATTTGAAAAAGAAAAGTTCCAATTGCAAAAACATTTTTATCAATTTTACTTATAGGATTCCAAGTTTTGTAGCAATATTTCCAAGACAGAATTATGTTGTGGATGCAAACCATATGATATATCTAACTAGATCATTTATATATAATGCAGCTGATGCACGTCTGCGCATTGTGTCTGAACGTGTTGACATAGCTGATAATCTCATCATTTCTGTTTCGGTAATTTTATAAAGCTATATCTTGCTGAATTTCATTCTCTTAGTTAGCTGTTCGAGGTTTATGATTTTATTTCATCCTTTGATTCAGATAGGTCCCCCGAATATTCAGTTCTTAAAGTCCAAGGATAAGAAGACCTGGGCAGCAAAAGATGTTGCTGATTCTGTATTGTCTGACAAGTCTGCGCTGGTAATGCATATGACTTTTTCTTGCTAACTACTGCATTGTTCACATGTATGTTAGATAACTTACATATTTGGAATTTTGGCTCATTCACCTGAAAATTTGTCCAAAATATATAATTAAGACTGAATCTGTGTGAAACTGAGATTTGCAATAGAAAATATAAGCAACCTCAAAAACTTTTATATGTTATGTATTTGTTGGCAGTGATACATGTCTCCTAGGTGAATGTCTGAACATTTGTATAGACATTAAACTAAAGTCAGAACTGTCTTATGGAGGTTGAACCATGTAATCAATTAATATTATTCTAGACCTGCTTGCACGTGTCAAAAGATCTGTACTCTTTGTCCAAGTAAATTAAAAAATGAACAAGTAAATAACGGTCTCTGGAAGGGTTCTTATATTTAATTGCTGAAAACTTAACTCCATTGAGTGGATTCTCACTTGAGATTCTATATCTTTTGGCAGCGTGTAACCTCGAGTCAGCGCATGAGTGAGAGTTCAGTTCTTGATACGCATGCTAGTGAAGTAAGCTTTAAAAACCTTGCTTAATTTATGATTGCCATTTTTGACAGTTTAGATTTTTGTAGAATTGATATACAGCTGAAAGCTTTGGAAATTACATAATACTATGAGTGATCTATGCCACTTGTTTCATTCTCCTTTTCATATTTCTCAGATTGATGGTGAGCAATATTGGTACTATGAATACCTTGTTCGCAAATCACCAACCAAATCCGTAAGTGTTTCCTTTCTCACCAGTAATTCTTGGTGCAAAGATGTGTACAGCTTTGCCCTTTTTGTGGGTTGTTGATGCCTTTAGTGGATTTGTGCAGGCTCAAGAACCAAACCCTTACCGACATTATGTTGCTTCAACAGCTGAACGGGAAGGTAGGATCATCAAATTTTTGTCATTTCTCATTTTGGAAAGACGTAGCTGTTCTATTTCATTCTGGGCAACAAAGTCTACTTTCTAATTTCTCATAAGTTTCTTGAGTATTGAAACCCTAAGATTTAGAATGAAAATAAACTGCTTAATCAATTTTTGAGCTACATAGCTCATCTGCCAATTTATTTCCAATGGAGAGAGGAAAAGGATATAGAAACATGCCTCAGCCATATAAGCTCAGATAACCCGTTTCTACCGTGGTTACATAGTCAATGGTTGAGACTTGAGATGGTGATTTACTGATCTCTTATGGCACTGCAAATCATTTTATGTTTGTATTTATAGGATTTCTGCAAATCATCTTTTCATTCAAGTATGCAAATGTGTATTGCAGGTTATCTGTACTCTCTAAGTGCTTCAACTCTTAGCCAGCAGTGGACTAAGGTCTCCTTTCCTCTCTCTCCACAATAATAAATGACATTAGCTAAGCTCTAATAAATGTGTGGATTATTTACCAAGCCAAGTTTATATAATGCAGATGGGCCCCTTATTGGAACAGACAGTTGCATCCTTTCGCCTTCTTCTTCCCACAGATAATTATGTTCCTCCATACAAGGATCCATGGAGATTTTGGTGACAACCTCCCTCCCTCTCTTCTTCCCCTCTTTTTATTTTTATTTGTCTTGTTGGGGTGGTCATTGTTTTTCCCCCTCCACGGAATTGAAAACAAGTGTAGAGTTTTAACAATTCCAAAGTTCTGTTATCATGTGACTCCCATTCTTTTTATTGCCATCCTTATTGACAAATTGAATGAAGCATGATGAAATAAGACTTGATATTTTTCATATATGGACATAAAAAGCATGTAAGGAGCAAGTACATTACACTGGTAATGGTTTGCTGTCCTATTCTCGAGATTGCTTATATTGTAAAACTAAACAAACATGCTTGTTGGAGATTGCTTATATTGGAGTGGCAGCGAAACTAATGGAGAAGGAAAGAACCACCGCTCGCTCACGGTCTTTAAACTAATCTGTCTTCTCTTTTCACCCTTGACATTGAATCAATTAGACTTCTTCATTTGCATTTTTTTTTTCAATCAATAGCATATTTAGGCTCTAATCTTTGCATTATATAAATTAAAGGCAGTATAAATGTTAGTAAAGACGACAAAAATTAAATCATACACTAATTAATTACATCAAGGATTTATAAAAAACCAATACCCCTTTTATTTATTTTTTCTTCACTAGACCATTCTATTGAATTTTACATCTGTTATCTGTACAAAACTCAAGGTGCTGACATATGAACAAAGCTCATTCATTTCCGAGCAAAGAATAAGAATATGTAACTAGACCTAACTTTACATTGTCAAAAACTACCCTACCCCTTCCCTAGACCTCTTTTTTCCCTCATTTTACATGAAATGTAGGCATGACCATGGAAAGACTTTTACCTGTGCAAACGGCCCGGTTTTAGCTGGAAGAAGGCGGATAGCAGGTTAGTCTTGCGAAGTAGCAGAATACTCAAAAAGAAGGCGTTTGGAAGGTGCAGATTGTAGGAGCACTCGCAATCGGCTTGTAAGCTGGTAGATCAAGGTCCACTGCATTGCCATCTCTGAGTCTTTCAGCTGCCTAACTATGGACGCCTAATTGAGATAGATGAAAGCATTAAAAAATGATAAAGAACTTAACGGATAACAACGAAATCTTCAAAATTCAAAATTGATTAAAGGTAATGGAAAAGCTTATCAGGCCAATGATTAGTGAATCCAATCAAAGAAAGCACCCAAAAACTGTGTACAATGTAGAGTTTGTTTTTCGTCCACCTTTTAATTCTATACATTGATTCACTTACATGAAAGAAGAACTCCTTAAGTGAAATGGAATGTTGATTTGGGACAAGAAAAAAGTCAAGGATGCATTAAAGTTAGATGTACCTGCAGCCGTTTTCCAAGCTGGACTTCAACTTCTGTCCCAAAGGATATATTGCTAGCCAAAGATTTGAGAGGATCAGCTGTAGGATCAACAGAGAGCAAACTAGGGATTTGTGGAGCATACACTAGCCTCCACCTGGCCTGACCAATCTCCCCCTTCCCTTCTATTCTTGGCATTAGCGTTTCAACTGTTGCAGTTGCGAGCTTTTTAAATGCAAGTTGGCCATCACCTTCCAATATGGACTCAGCCAATTGACTCTCAAATACTCTAGCAGCCTGGACAAAGGGGGAAATTTCACAACACCAAACCAAACCACTACAGTCCATGAAATCAACACTTTAATATGAATTTGGAAACTACAAGCAATAAGATTAACTACATTAAAAACCTAGGGCAAAATTCTCAACATATCCAGGCTAAACTTATAAATTCCTTGCAGCATTGGACAGCTACTTGTTAGACCAACAGAAAACCAGAAGCAAACACCACATCCATTGTCACAGAGATCAGAAACATGCATTCAATAAGAATGCAAGTAAACTACACAAATTACATGATACTAAATTCAACTTGCCATTATGTCTCAAGTAAATTTGCAGATCATAAGGAAGACAAGATATTTCACTCATGATTCAACCTTATCACTTCCTTAACGCAGAGCTTATTCGGCATATAATAAGAACCAGAAATCCTCAATCATCGTTTACGAATAATACTTTATTAAATAATGCCATAGGATGCAACCCTAGTACAAGAGGTTCTAACCTATTTACAGACAGAATATGTCAGTTCAGGGAACACAGAGGAATCAAAAAATTTACACACAATCTTATTATCTTTTATAATATTACCTCAGTAGGTGAGAGAACATCCTGCTCCACAGAACGTATTGAGGTTACCACCAATTTGTCCTGCCAATTGCTGGCTCGACTTTGAATCCTAAATTGCCATTCTGATCCAACCAAAGCTAAGTCCAGCATTGGATCCAGCCCATGCTCAGGTTCAAATTTTGCTATGTTTAAATGTTCTCGCTTAAGCCTAACCTGAATTTGCAGAAGACAAAGTCAATGTGTTCAAAAATTTGAAATTTCTACTTGCCTTTCATAAAAAATTGTCAGTGTGTTCAATGCAATAAACTATCCAGTCTAGCAGAAACAAATTTGAAAAGCACAAAGATATGCGAACAAGAGTAACATAGATATACTATAGACTCACTTGAGTTGCAACAAGATTCACATCACCATTCTCAAATGTTAAAATGCCCTTCGGTTTTATCCATTTTGGATGAGCCAGGCCATTCAACTCGAGTTCCCCACTAACAGCAAAGTTAAGAATCAAAGGATAAACTATCCTCAATTCTGGTCCTAAAACAAGCTTCAAATCATTAAGGCGGACATCAACACTTGGTTTAATGTTCACTTGCTCCATTTCCTTCTCAACTTCAGCTGATTTAACTGCAAAACGCAATAAATAAGTCACTTGGACAATCAGAAAAAATAATAGACAAATTGATCATACACCATAGATAGGATTCTGCGTGTTCACAAAAATTCAGTAAATATAAAACTGATGGTAAATCCCTATTCTTCATTTCAGGAAATTGATATTACTTCTTATTCCCGCTAATAAAATGCTTCATCCAGTCATTACCCACCTAATTTGTGCAGAAAATAAGAAATAAACAGTGAAAAATAACACATCCTATTTTTGGAAAGCGATAGACCAGCAGGTATCTCTATAAAATACTCTAATTCAGAATTTCAGCTATAGACAATTCTTAATTCACCAATTTTAGAGTTTACTGTCTTCTTCTTCTTCTTAAAATCAAAGTAGCTTATTCCTTCTATTTGGCACCCACTTAAGGCTTCCAAACATTGAATGCAAAAAGAAAACCCACTATAAGAGATCTTTGCCTTGAACTCTTTAAGTTATCTAAGAACCTCACTGAAGGCAAAGGCCATCATTCTTTTCTAACCTAAGAGATTTGTTTGTGTTTAATTTATAATTGATACATCTCACAAGTAAATGGGTGGTAAATGGGTGATAAATGAATGTCAACTTATAGAATGCCCTTACTAGGAAAAGAAAAATACTGGAAAGGAAATGTCATCCCCTCTTTAGGCATTGCATTAAAAAGAATCTTTTCTAGATTACTATTGAAGTCTGATCCAGTTCTTGAAAAATAAACATTTCATTAGTATGTACTCAAAAAGTCAAAAATTTTAAAATCATGTGGTGTTTCCACAAAGAGTAGTCTAGATTTCAATTGTAGTAGTCAGTGACTACTAGAAAGAAAGAAAAGGCATCAGAATTGAAAGTAATAATAGCATATTCTACCAGAGGATTGTGGGAGTTTGGTCCTTGAGGAAGCAGGTTCAGAACTGAAAAACCGTGAGACATATCTAGAAGCAACTGCTTGACTGACTCCAGCACCCAGAAGCCTGGACTGGTTTGATGCCAGTTTATTAAAAGGTGCAGCTCCACTACCCTTATCATGTGGCAAATATGCCTCTCCATGGCTCAATTTAATATTCCCTGAGATGTTTGGCTGCAGAATGGAACCAGTTAGCTGCAACTGAGTGTCAACCTGGCCACTGATATTAGCAAGATGTCAGTTCCCACAATCAACACATAAAGGAAACAAAACAATTACACAGCTAACAAAAACCCAGAAGAAAGGGAATTCATCTGTTAGGTATAAAGAGCTAATGGATCGAGTAGGCAAATGCCAAATGGCAGCCTGGTGGCCAGGTGTAGGGCAGGAATCAATACTAGCAATAAGCACAAACATCAGCATTGAGGAACAAAATCATCATATAAAAAATCATAAATCACATTTCAAAGAAAGATAAACACACCTCAGAATATTTTTTGCCCGTACTTCTAGAACTTCACATTTCAAGTCAATTTTATCACCCAGGGATGCTTCACTTGTTCTAAGGGGCAAATTCCCTTTTACAGACAGCTTCCCCCTTCTGCTGACCCTACTCTCCAAAAAGGCAATGCATAACTTATTTGATTTCACATGAACTGTGCCACCAATGTTTGTAAGTGGTTTTCTGAGTACTGGTGAAGATATAGATGCCCTGTGGAACGATGCAGATCCATCAAGCACAGGTTGTTCAACTGTGCCTCTAACCTGTTTATTTAAAACACATCAAAAAGACTATTAAAAGTTAACATTAACTCTGGATCAAAATTTATTGACAAATTATTTACCACAAGTGTTTAGGTGACAAGTAACCTAACTTGAGCTAACCCACCTGAAGCATGACATCTGCACTGCCATGAAGCCAGTTTGCATAAGGAGATAATGCTGTCAACAACATCATGCCCCCATCCTTTATATCAGCATCAACTCTAACTTCTCCTACATCTAAGATGTTCCAGTTTAAACCGTTAAGGCTTTCTGCTAACTGAGTGTCCCAACCTTCTTCTGTTGTCTCCCGAAACATTTTCTTCTCACTAGCTTTATCACCTGACTCCTTATCCCTTTCCTTCACCCAGCCAGGGACCAAAGTTGTCCCACTTCGTTCTGTTTCAGTTTCTTCTTCCTCAGACATGCTACTTTGGACAAAAGTAACAGGAACACTTCCTTGAACATGTACATGGCCATTTTGGATGATTGGTTCAAATTTGGCATTGAACAGAAAACGGCTGCTTGAGGTTAGGGAAGCAACAACTTCAGCACGCCCAAGATCAATGCCCCCAATGGCACCATCCAGAAGCCTTACTTGTACATCACATTCTGGTTTTGCAAGACTTCCTCTGAGGTCTCCTTCCATGTATAATATTCCCTTAATTGGGGCTAACAATTGTCGCAAAGAATGAACAGCCTCAGTGGCAGATGATTCAATAATCTGCACTAGGGTAGGAACTAGACTAACAGGAAAATTTAGAACAGCAAAATGAAGATTGGTTTTTGGCCCCAACAAAGTCCCATCAGCATGGATTGTTGCGTCATCTTTTTGGATAAAAATTTTCTCAAGACGCAAACCATCATCATTACTGTATGCACCCACTGCCACAACACGTTGAGTGTTGTAGCTTCCCCACTCCCAATCCTCCCCATGAAAATCAAATTCTGCCTGAAAAAAATTGAGAAGAACCAATAATGTCAAAGGAAATATAACTCCTTGTAAAGAAATTCAAAAATGATACAGGAAAGAAAAATTGGCAATCTTTCCTTCCCAAATAAATACAAATAGAAGAAAACACTTATAAACCCCCGTATGAAGTTCTGGATACAAAAAATGAGATAGAAAGGTGATGCAGGCGCATCAAGAATTTTATTTTATTTAGTATTTTCGTTAGCTTAGGATTTTTTTATTTTATTTTATTTAGTTTGAAATTCTTTTTCCTATCTTTATTAGAATTTTAGTACTTTAAGCCTTTATTTAGGATTAGGATTACTATTTGATTAGGATTTATCTTAGCTATTATAAATAGGTGATCTTAGATAGAAGATTATTATTATTATCTTTTGTTATTTTGAATATTTATTCAAGAGGTTTTTTTTAAAAACCCAATTTTCTTTCTATTGTTCCAACACA